CAACATCTTAATTTCTCAGAAATCTGTTGACCCCGGGTCTTCCCTTTGCAGGGTTGGCCGAGGGTCATTCAGCTCCTGTGGGGTCACTTTGTCCCCTCACAACTTGTGGCTCTGAAGGCATCTGAGTTTGAATGCCCCCCATCCCTGCTAAGAGGGGCTGGCTGAAGCCCCTGCGCCTTTCTCTCCCAGCCTCCCCTGACTCAGTGCCTAATACATGGGGCTTTTATTTTGTTGTCTCTCCGAAACTCAAAAAACCCAAGCAAATACCTGGGGGAGAAATCAGCCTCTCAAATGTCAGGAAACAGCTGATGTAGCCTCTTCCTGGGGACGACTCTCCTTGCTTGCCTGGTTGCCATTCCTAAGGGAAAGCTGCAGGCTGAACACAGGCTCCCCGGAGAGCAGCCGAGGACGCTTGAATGAACTTCCAAGAAATCCAGAGGACATTTACATTGGGTATTGCTCAAAATGACTTTTGTTTTTCTTTCTTTTTACCACGTTGTGTGCTGACTCTGGTTGTACAGTGGGCTCCAGCTCAGCTTGCTCTCGTGGGGGTGGGTAGGGGTGATGTAAGGGATTTCTTGGGACAGGCTTTGCCCACGGGCACGACAGCCTACCCCTGCGCTCCAGGCAGCTGTCCTGGGACCAGGACCGTCTGCTGGAACCAACCCAGGCCCCCTGATGAGAGCCCAGCGGGGGCTGTGGGCTGGGCTGCTCCACCAGAGCACTATTCTCAGGACGTTAAACGTCCAGGCCGCTTGCACACACGCAGGTCTCAGGGAAAAACAAACACTGGATGACGAGTAAGCTGTAGTTACGATTCGAGGCACACACTTGTATGGGAACTCAGTTGTGAGAAACAAGAGAGGCCACATTTTGAGAGGTCGAATGGGGAGCATCACACCAGCTACGCAGAATGCATTGGCAGTAAGCACCTTGACTTGAGATGAAGACAAGAAACGGTGACGTGGAACTAGAACTCTCCAGGTTACCACTAAGGTCTTAACGGTTAATTCAACAGCAGAGAAAAGTTCTAGCTCCTGGGTACTAATGGAAGCTGCTACAGGCAGGAAGGTGACTGGGTAGCAGCCTGAGCAAGCTCACCACTCTGCCTCTGCCTGCTTTTGAACTGGGAGGTGGCTACCACTGCTGGAGGAGCATGGGACATGTTGGTGGGGCTGACCGTGGGCAGCTGGGATGGAGCCCCGTGGTGGGGGTGGGTAATTTGACCCAGCCTTGCTGCAGGTAGGCTGCATTGGACTGTGCTGACTGGGCACCTGATTCTTTTGTTATTTGTTTGTACCAGTCCTGAGGCTTGAACTCAGAGCCTGGGTGTTGCACCTGAGCTTTTTTTTTTTGCTGTTAGTGCTCTACCACTCGAACCACAGCCCCACTTCTGGCTTTTTGGTAGTGGTAATGGGTATTTGAACTTCTCTGCTGGGACTGGCTTCAAATCCTCCTCCTCCTCAAATCTCAGCCTCCTGAGTAGCTAGGATTATAGGTATGAGCCACCAGTGCCTTGCTCCTAATTCTGAGAGAATGTATTTACAATCTCAAATTGCTTTTTCGTAGGTGATGTTCTTACTGAATAGCCTATATAAGAAGAGGACTTAGAACTGTAACAGCTTCACAAAAGGATTTTTATTCCATATAGATTTGTGAAAGCCATTATATTCTAGTCCTCTGGAAGCGATATCACTTACCAAAAATTCATTTCTTCTCAGAACCAGGAGCAAAGTTACTTGGAGTCCAAGCGTGGCTTTTTTATTGATTTTTGAGAACGCAGCCACATATCCTTTGTAAGTCTATCTTCTATGCCATCTCAGATTGTGCCGGCAATATTAGATTCGATGTACTGGCAATATTAGAGAGGATGTGCTGGCAATATTCCAAAGCACTCCAATTTGAGAAAATCTGGTGTGTCTTGAGAAAAATCACTTCTATGACTTATTAATGTACGGGGTAGGCACCAGTTTCATAGGACTCATTCACCCCGATTTATCATCAAACACAATTTAAGTCAGAAAAAAGAAATCAAATGGAGTAAGTGAACTCAATTACATTTTAATTTTAAAGTTAATTCAAGTCCTGTTTGAATAATGTTAGCATTGCCGTTTGTCAAGGCGTCAAACTGTCCTGAGAGGAGCCCACATTCCTTTCCAATCTCTGGCTGGCTCTTTCTTCTGTTCCTCTATTCCTTCCTCGTCCCTGCTGCGTCCTCATCTGTGGGGGTGCCCATGTGCCTTCTCTGGCTTCCAGTAGGTTCCTGTTAGGCAGGTGAGAGGGTAACAGATTTCCTCTGAGGGTCCCGTAGCTGGTCATGCCCCCACTTAGGGGGCAGCTCGGACTGTGCCCCTCAGGCTGATACCAGCCCTGCCATAGCATCCCAGACCTATGCAAGACATCTGCTTATTAAATTCATAAATTCTCCCCAATTAAAGTGTGCTATATGCTTCGTATGGGGACCTACGCAGCTGCAAATACACATCTGATGCACAGAGATAATGAGGGGATTGCTGATTCACTAGTAAGCAAGCGAAGGAAGGGACCAAACCAGCCCAAGAGAAAGCATTTCAATTGAAAACCACCACCTCCTTAGGAAAGCTGCCCTGGGGGCGAAGGGAGCGGGGGGACTGCTTTAATTCTTGGGGGTTCCAAGCACCGGGCCTCTGCATTTTATATGGAGAGTACTCCAAGATTGTTTTGGTATGGGTTTCTGAGGGTAACAGAGTAAGACAGCTCACAGGATATGACATGCTAACTGTCACCAACCATAGAATAGAGGGACTCTGACCCCAGTCACTTTAGAACCAGCACCTGTGTTGCAGGGAAATGGAAAAGACCAATGAATGTTGGCACAGATGATGTTCCAAGCATGTCACCTATGTGATACTGTAGGAATGATCTAGTTTGAAGGTGCTTTTCTCCCGTTCTGAGTTTTGTCAGTTCCTCCTTAGAAATCACTCTACTAATTAAACAAAGAGTGGAGGCTTTTGGCTGAAATTCAAGCTTTAGAAAAGGCCAGTGTTTCTTCCTCAGGTTGCCTGAGGTTGGAAATGAGTGCATTTTCTCCACATTTAGACCTTCAGCGCTGCTCCTGGGAAGAAAAGGGGCTGGGCCGGGAAGGGGGCAGGGGAGGGCTCACAGAACCAAGCCATGCTCCGGCAGCTGTACAACTTCTCTCTTTTATTTTGTGTGCTTTTTATAGGATATAAATAATGACAAAAATTACAAAATTTATAACTGGAAGCCCAAGCTTATTTACACATATGCTTCTGTTTTAGCAGAGCTACCATTTACTTTGCTCCTATACAATATCCTTTTGGTTCCATATTTTAGTGTTACTTTACTCTCCATTTACTCTACATACATATCAACAGTGAATAGGCAAAATATGTACAAGGAACCGTTCAGTTCAAGTAATTTAATATTGTATTAAAATTCCTCAACACTGAACTAAAACCATATATATTCGTCAGTTTGAAATAAAATTTAGTCAGTCTTCAAAACTCACCAACTGATGTGATCATCTCAGGTTTAAAGTAATATTGGTTAATAAAAAACATTAATAAGACAATTCCACAATTTATCAATATCGCTATATGAACTTCAAAATGAGTCACAATATATGGTTGGTTAGAACAATATACATTAAAATGTCATTTTTTTCTATAATGATATTAGTACTGTTTATATAATTTGATTCTACACAAATATACATTATGGTATCATACAAATACTCCACAGAGACATTAAAAAATTAAAATACCTTAAAGAAATGTAAGTAAATTTTATTTAGTCAAATAGTAAGCAAACATTTATTGTTATTATTTTTGTTTCAAGAAAAGTTTTATTACTTTGGAATTAAATCTTTTTTTTGTGTGTATTTATATTTTGTAGAAAAAAAAAAAACCTCTTTGTGATAGAATCTTATTAACACCTTTCTCATACAAGGTTTCCAAATGGCAGGAATCTTGAGAGAGCAGGAGCCCTGGACCAAGATGATGATGATGATGATGATGACGATGATGATGCTTCTTAAATATGTTCTTTTACAACACAAGATTATAAAAACGCTCTCCGCCGGCCGCGGGCGCGGGACGGGCGCTGGGGGCCGCGCGGGGCCTCCCCCGTCACGGGGCCTCCGTCCTTCTCGCTGGTCGCGGGAGACCTGTGTGGAAGCGCCGCGCACGGCGAACCTGGTTTTCTCACCCATGCGTAGTGGAAACATTCGTTTAAGAGGAGGAAGTCACACAGGACACAGGCTCCCCCCCGCTCCTCGGTGCTGGCGTGTTTTAAATTCGGGACCAAGGATGAGTGAAAGGGTTTTTCTTTCTTTCTTTCTTCGTTATCCCCACAGACCTGATCACACAGAAAACGCACCCATGGAGAGGGGGGCGAGGGCTTGCTGGCAGCCGTGGAGGTGGTTCGGTCCCGCTGCGCTCCACCCGGCTCAGCGGGACGATTTGACTGATGGTGGTGGTGATGATGGTGGTGGTGATGATGGTGGTGATGATGATGGTGATGATGATGGTGGTGGTGATGATGATGGTGGTGATGATGATGGTGATGATAGTGGTGGTGATGATGGTGGTGGTGGTGATGATGGTGGTGGTGATGATGGTGGTGGTGATGATGGTGGTGGTGATGATGGTGGTGGTGGTGATGGTGGTGGCGGCGGCGGCGGCTCCCGCTGCACAGGCGCTCGCTGCGCGGCTCTGCGCGGCCGGGCCGGGCCGGGCCGGGTGGTGAGCCCCCGGCGGCGCGCCGTCCGCCCTACTTTTTTTTTTATTTTGAAAAGAACTTTGTTGTTGTTGAAATCTCTATGTATACCGCGTTGGACGGCGTCTCCCCCGTCGGAAGCAGAGCGGGAGTGGGGGAGCCGCGGCCGCGCGGGGTGGGGCCCGCGCCGCCTCCGAGCGCGCGCGCGCGCGCACGCACGCACGCGCGCGGCCGGGCGGCCGCGGCTCCCGGGCGGCGGCGGCGGCGGCGGCAGCGGCGGCGGCAGGGTGCGGGAGGGAAAGCCCCCCCCCCCCCTCGCCGAGCGCCGGCCCCGGCGGGCGCGAGCAGAGCAGTCTTCCTCCCGGGCCGGGCCGCCGAGGAAAGCCTGCTCCGGGACGGCTGGCGAGCCAGGCGCCGCGAGGACGGGACGGCGGCTATCAGAAAATCGTGGTTTCATACTTGGTATTAATGCCCCGCTTGGCTTCTTGCCCCGGCTCCACAATCCACGGCAGATTGGCCAGAGTCTTTTGCTCAGAAGGGTCGATCTGCTTTAAAACAGAAAGGCTGATGCCCGTTATCCGGCGGCCGTGCGGCGCGGCCCGCACCCGCCACCCACCCCGCGCGCCCCGCACGCGCGCGCCCCGCGCCCGGCCGCCCCCCTCACGGCCGGGAGAGCCCTGGATCGCCACCCCCGACCCGTGGCCCCGGCCTCCCGCGGGTCCTCCGCATCCGCGCGCCCGCGCCCCCCGGGCCTGCCCGCGCCCGGCGCACGCAGCGCTCACGCCCGCCCGCAGGCCTCGACGCCACCGCCTCCCCCAGGGGCCGCGCCCGTGACACTCGGGACCGAAGCGCACCCCGCTCGTGCGCTCGCCTCCCGCCCTGGCCGGACACCCCCGTCTGCCCCTCCTCCACCACACCGGCCCGACAGGCGGACATTCTGCCTGCCGCGCTCCCCGGACCCGGGCCACGCTCCGGGCCGCGCCTGGCCCGGTGGGCGCGGGGCGGCTCTGGTGGAGTCAACACGGTGTGGAGGGAGTGAGGCTGTGTTTAAGGGAGAAGTGGGGGCCCCGCAGGTGTCGGCCTGGCGAGGGAGGGAGGGAGAGCAGGTGCGGATCTTACTAGAAGGCTGTGGCTGCTGGCGCACTGTGCGGGGCGGGGGGCACGGCGGGGGGGGGGGCGTGGAGAGGGGAGCAGGTGGGCAGGACGGCCCGTCACTGCTGCTGTGTGCGTGCGTGGCTGGCCCTGGAGGGGCTGAGCTCTGAGCTCCGAGGAGGGGCCTGATAAGGAAGCCTTCCCCCCCCCCCCCAGCCTCATCCTTAGGTGGTTCCGATGCCCAGTCTGCCCCGCCTGGCCACCCTGGCCCATTCTCACCCAGCCTGGCACTGCAGCCCCCCCCCCCCCCCAGGCTGCGGGATCGGTGCCCACCGAGGCTGGCTGTTCCTATGGCTCCACAAGGCGGTGTGGGCCTTCTGATGGTCTTAGCGACTAAAGGGGGGGGGGGGGGCCGAGCCAGCATGCGAACTGAAGGGACAGATCCCGAGGCAGGCAAGGCCAGCAGCAGCACTCACTGGATTTTTTTTTTTTTTTCCCGGTTTTCCAGTGCAAGTGTCTGGATAAATATTCTAGGAGCCTGCATGGTACTCAGCCCTTTGTGCTCTCCTGGGAGAAGTCCATGGGGACCGCAGTGAAGCCGGGGAGGGGGATACCTGCTACCCACACATTCATCCCGGCTATCTAAGAAGGAATTCAGTACTTCCAAAGACACTATAGACTGCAGCAGCCCACTCATTCTCAGACTCGTGTGGTAACGCTATTCTCAAGCCCTCATTTGTTTAGCCCCATCTTTTTTTTTTCACATGCACTGAAGGCCCGTTATGGCCCTGCTGTGACAACACAGATTCCTGCATACATGAAGCTTATTTTTATTTTATTATTATTTTTGTGTGTGTGGAAGAAGACAGGTAACAGCAACCTCAGTTAATAGATGCTACACTAAATTAAAAGCAGGCAATAAAGCTTCAGTGTGCCTGGGCTGGGTGGTCAGAAGCCTCTTCATAGATGACAAGACAGAACAATCATAAAGAAATCAGGGAGAAAACATTCCAGGTGGAGCAAACAGGTGAAGCAAAGGCATCAGGTAGGAATGAGTTTCATAGTCAAAAGAATGGGCAGGCCTGAGCATCAGGGACTGTAATGAGAAGCTAGGCTTGGGTATTTGGGACCTGGGTACCATGGTGTGGTTTCTGCAGTGTGGAGGAGAGGATGTGTGGGCTTTGTGAGAGGAGGGGGACTGGGCGGATGGGAGGAATGTTCTAGGTGGGCAGTGAAGGGGCTTTGTTTCTGGGTTGGATACAGATGTGGGTAGGGGGTGGACGGAGGTGGAGAATCAAGGTGATTTATACATTTTTAGCCTGATGAGCCATTTTTAGCATGGTGCACAGACATTGTTACCTACTGATCTGGGAAGGTGGAGAGGGAGGCAGTTCTGGGGGAAAAGTCTATGCTTGATACACCAAGTTTTAGATGTCTACTAAATCTTACGGTAGAAATGGTTATGAATGAATGAATCTTAATTAAGCCAGGTTCTGGTAGTTCATGCCTTTAATCCTAGTTACTCAGGAGGCAGAGGTTCAAAGCCAGCCTAGGCAGGAAGGTCTGCCTACCAAACTGACCACCAAAAAGTCAGAAGTGGTGCTATGGCTCAAGTGGTAGTGTGTCAGCATGAGCGACAAAGCTCAGGGATGGTGCCTGGGCCTGAAGTTCATGCTCCAGAAAAAAAATTGACTCTGATGTGTGCCTCTGGAGTTCTGATGGAAGGGCAGGGCAGGGGAGAGAGAAGAGGGGGGGAGGGATGGGGAGGAGGAGGGAGAGAGGAAGAGAGAGAACTGGGAGCCATGGGGTAGAGAGGGCAGAGGCGGGAGGGCCAGGGGTGGAGTGAAGGTCTTCAGAGGGATGAGGTCACTGATGAGCAGTCAGGAGTGAGGGCGGGGTGGGGGAAAAGCTCTCACCTAGGGCAGAGAAGAAAGCTATAAGGATGGAGAGGCCAGGGGTGGAGGGACCGCCCCTGGGTGCCAGAGTTGCCAAAAGTGAGACGTGCGTGTCCCCCCAAGAGAAAGTTTGTACATCAGAAGCCACACGGTCACCAAGGAGGTGCCGCTCTGCAAATGTTAGGAATACCTATTTCCATGACAGGGGGCAAGGGGGGGGGGCTCCCCTGGGGAGGAGGAGACAGATGGAAGGATTGGGGGGGAGAGGGCAATGCACTCCGGGGGGGCTGCCTGGTGCCAGTGCCAGGGTTTCTAGAACGCAGGATGGCAGCTGGAGCAGAAAGCAGATGGGAGGTGGGTTGGGAACCTTCCAGCTTTGGGGTGTCTCTACTAGCAGAGGAGGCCGCTTTGGAAGTCATGCAGCCTGTTGGGACAGGATGTCTGCAGAGCCTGTGGGAGGGAGGAAGGAAAGGAAGTTCCTAAAGGAAGGCAGATGATGATGAGGAGGGAGGGCTGTCCCTCTGACAGTCACCGGAGGGGAAGCTCAGCGGCAGGAGGGAGGGAAGGCCCCTGGACCGGGGACATCAGCCTCGCAAGGCTGGCTCTGGGGCCTCACGCAACAAGCAGCTTCTACCAACTGGGGGGACAGGGACGCTCTTCCCTGAGCCTCTGTGAATCTCTCTGGAGCCCAGGGGCTTGGGAGAGGCTTTGCCCTGTGATGACTGGCACGGAGGCCTGGAAGTGCCCTGTCTGTACCCCTGCCTCCCACTGTTGCTGCCACAGGTGAGAGAGAAGATGGGATTCCCTCCCCCCCCCAAGACTAAGAAAGAGTAAGAGGGTAGGGAGTAGAGCAAAGCTGGATTCTAAATGGCAGCCACAACCCGCAGGGCGGGGCTCACGGACCCTCTCCTCCCTCCTAGCTCAGGATTGCGGGACACCTCTCTTCTACTTACCACGGACTTGCGAATGCTGACGCGGGGCTTGGGGATGGGCTTGGAGGGCTTGTTTTCAAAGCTTTCCGGGAGTGTGGAGGAATGTCCCCCTTTTCTTGCTTGCAGTGCGAGCTGGTAAGCCACCTCAAATGCCTGGCCCAGTGTGAGGATGATTTCGTAAGCTAGATTCTGCAAGAGAAAGGAGAAAGCATTTACCCTGGGGGGCACATGGCAGGTCTGAAGGAGCTGCCAGGCTGAAGGGCACGGTTTGGGGGCAAACTCGCTCTACCGCACCGAGGCCGCAGTGACTCACTCACATCTGTGGAGCCTGGACACAAGGCTTTAGCTATCCATCTCCATGCAGGGTCTGCACTTGGCCCCTCAGCGCCGCTGGCCGGCCCTGGGCATGGACAGATGGGCGGGGAGGGGGAGCGCAAGCGCGCCTCCACCAGGCTGTGAGGCCCTGCCCACTCGCTCCAGGGGAGGCGTTCCTGAGAAGTTTGGGTCTTTTTACCAGTGAACGTCTACGAAACAATCAAAATCTAATTTCGGCGGAGGGGAGAGGCATTAGTCATGCTGGTGTGGAGTCTCTCAGTGGCAGCAGCGAGCGTGCAAACAGTGCGCGAACGGAGCCAATTACCCGTCTATTTCTTAAGGCTGCATCTCTCCCTGTGGGTCCAGTCTATATTTCATCATCAAACCAGCCAGAGACAGGAGAGTCTGTCGGGCCAGAATGCTGTGCCAAGCCACACCGGGAGCAAGGTTCTTCTCTTTGTTTTTGACTTTCCATCACACCATCAGTCCATCTCTAACCTTCCTTCTCTCTGAGCAGCTTATCTTGGGCTTTCGTCTTTTCTTCTCTGTGTAGCTCTACCCTGTCTTCTCCCACTGAGAGAACATGACACGGGGCCCCAGAGATGCAGGGTCTTCAGAACCCTGAGTTCCCAGTACAGCAAAGTCGGTGTATGCCTGGGGACTGAACCTATGGTCTCAGACCTGCTAGGCAAACACTTTCCCAATCACCACAGCTCAGCCTGGGAATGTTCTCGAGGTTACTGCGCTAGCTGAGCACAGGCACCATCGATCCTAAATTTTTTATCCTATAAATGACCCTAGAATGTCTCAGCATGGTTTCTCCAAATCGCAGACAGCATTCTGCCTTTGCTGAGATGCGACTGTGCCTTCCTGTCCCCGCCCACCTCCACCCTTACTCACCACACTGTAAGCTTTCTGGAGAGAAGTCTGGAGACTGTCCTAGGGCCTGCTGAACATGGATACAGAGACACTGGGTAATTTTCTGAGACCATGGGGAAGAATCCTGGGGATTCTAGACCCATCAGACTTTAGGTCAATGTCATGGTCACAGAATTAAGTAGGAAAACACCTCTGAGCTGCAGAGTTGGTCTGACAGAGGATGAACCTGGCACCCCCGAGCTGTTTGCTAGGTAACAGTGGGCCTGCATGACACATGTGATGCCAAGAGTGCATCTTGCACAGCAGCTGGGCCCTTCCCTGCAGCGCACGCAGCCTGTCTTTGCCTCCAGGAATGAGTCAGACTAGTAAATTAGTAACAAACCAACAAATGATAGTGGAGGAGGACTGGGAGACAGCTCTGACCATCACTTCCCACTGCCTACACTGTCAGCGTTGCCTCTCAGTGCTGCACGGGATGCTGGGAAAGGTGGACGAGGCTCCCCATTTCCTGACTCACAGAGGGGGCAGCCCTTAGTCTGGCTCACTGCTCTTGGGCAAGAGAGTCAGTGTCCATCCGTGGGGGACGTTGTGGCAGATACTCATGGCAGGTATGAGACCTAGTGGCCGTATTATACGCGACCTTTACAAGGCAGAGCCAGAGAGCTTAAAGTGTGAATTTCTTTGTCATTAGCCTAAAACAAGTTCCTGTAAGTGAGAGTAGCTTCATGCCCGGCTGTCATCGACTGGAAGCTGGAGCTGCTCTTTTGAGCAAGTGAGATTTTTCACATGACTATTATGGGAAGCTGAGAAGTTCTGCAGGGTAATGGGCTAGAGGTTTTGCTCTTTTGTTTTAACTTTGTTTCTGCTATTAAGAAACTACTCCAAGAAGACACAGAGACAGGACTGCAGCCAATTTTCTGCCAATCCACCCCTCCTGGTTTGGCTTGAGTTCTCCTTGACCTTTTGCTTTGGTTTTGTTTTATAATGCTTTATAGTGATTTTTTTATGATGAGGTATAATAAAGAGTTGGATCTTGTTATATTTTTCTATTTTTTCTGCAGTCTTAATTTTTTTTTTTTGTCAGTCATGGGGCTTGAACTTGGCCTGGGCATTGTCCCTCAGCTCTTCAGCTCGAGGCTAGTGCTCTACCACTTGAGCCGCAGAGCCACTTCCAGCTTTTTCTGTTTATGTGGTGCTGAGGAATCGAACCTAGGGCCTCATGCATGTGAGGTAAGTGCTGTACCACTGAGCCACCTTCCCAGCCCCAGTCTTAATGTTTGAAGTATGGATACTGGACACCAGGGTGGCCCATGGGCACTGAGGCTGGCACAAAGCCCTTTGCACCAGCCCTCGGTGCAGGTGCAGGTGATCTTTCTTAGGTTTAAACCCGGGGCCTTTCGAATGCTAGAGGCAGGCACATACTCCAACGGGGCAGGAAGCCCCATTTGCCCAATCATTCTTGTGGACTCTTCGGTTAATATCCTACTGTGTGCAATAGGAAGATGGCTGTTATCCAGAAGGCCCATATTGCTGGGATGAGAATAAAAATTCTATTGCAGTAGTATTTAATTAATTGTGCATTAAAGACCATTAATCTTTGTTTTAGAAGCTAGAGATTATAAAGTGTAGAAAAAAATGTTGCTGAATTTTGATGCCAGCATGAGATTTTTGTCTACTTCTGGTTCTCATCTATCTGTATAAAACTTCTGTTCAAGCCGGGTTTGGCTCAGGCCTGTAATCCTAGCTACTCAGGAGGATGAGATTTGAGGACCGTGGTTTGAAGCCAGCCAGGGCAGGAAAGCCTGTGAGACTGTTATCACCAATAAACCTCTCAGAAAAAGCTGGAAGTGGCACTGTGGCTCAAGTGGTAGAGGCTAGCCTTGAACACAAAGAGGCCCAGGAAAAGTGCCCAAGGCCCTGAGTTCAAGCTCTAGGACTGGCAAAAAAAAAAAGGAGGAAAAAGATTCTGTTTGTTGTTTACTATAGGATTACTATTACATTTTGAGGTAAACACAGAATTTGTATTGCTTGATAAGCTACTACCTTGTAAATGAAAAAAAAATACTGTACCTCAATTAACTTAATGGACCAATACAATGATAAAAGATGTTTTCTTTAAAAAAGAAGAATGCATCAATTATATTAGCATAGTAGTTATAACATAATGACAATTCAATTGTCATGCAAATTGGGAGTGGCCCTGACTCTGCTGGGGCTTTCTTGGAGCACTGGTTCATGCAGGGGGGCTATCCAGTAGAACACTTGTAGAGGACCCCCTCCCCCGCAGGCATGAAGCCCTGGAGGAGCGATCTGAGCTGAGGCTCTAGATGCTGTGTGGAGCAGAGAACCACAGTGACAGCCCAAATCCTGACCGACAGGAATGTCACCATAATAAAGTGGCTATGCTGTCCCATGCCGCTGCCCACTGGGGTGTAGTCTGTAACTGCATCCTCCCTTGTCGGGCAGCACGAGTGGCTGCTATGAGTAGCACTGGAGCCCAACCCAGAGCCACCCGCCTCCCAGCTGCTGGTCCATCCTGGTCACAGGAGCCCGGGGAGCACCGAGGTTTCTTTCCATTTGATAGTTCAAACTGCAGAGCTGCAGTGTCCTTTTAAGCCAGCAAGGCCACACTCTCATCCTGGTTACTCTGTTGGGTATGAATTCGAACTCTTAGTTTGGCACATATTACCTCTTAAATGTTGCACCCCTGCCACCGGTCTCTGAGGGGCTCCTTCCTCCTGGAGCTTATTAATAGAAACATATTCCTTGCCTTGACTTTTCCAGTATGAGTTTCTTGAGATGCGCTGTGGCTTTGAGTAAGTTTTTTTCTACCTTACTCCGACCAGCAGTGTAAAAAGGAAACAGGAATGCACATGGATTGGTGGGGCCTGGGGAATAATTACTGTACGCTGCCTACTTGGAGCTTTGCTTTTCTCATCACAAAATGGGAGATGATGCTACTCACAGTACCCACCTTACTGGATCATGTTGAGGCTCACGAAGGGCATTGTTTTATGTAATGACCACACTGGCTAGCCTTTATCATTTACTGTGCCATGCACCATGGTAAGCGCCCTATGTCGGCCGTAGCATGCAGTTCACAGAACATCTCTGTGCCCATAGGTCTATTAGTATTTTCCTTTTACATGTGAGATCTAATTAAGCCTAGAAAGGTTAATTTGCTTCAGATTCTAGCACCTGCCTGGGCTGGTATTTGAATCCATGCTGATATGTTTTGTTCTTGACCACTTGAAAGCATACTTGAAGCAAAGTTAAAGTTGTTGGATGACTGCTCCATTTTCAGATGAAACCGGTTAGGGTCTCATGAGAGGACCAGTTAGGGGACATCCTTTAGACATAGGATGTCTGTCCTTTGTGACTTGACTGAACAGTCAACATTCCCGGCTCCAGCAACAACTGGGATAAAGGCAGGGAGTGTCCTGATTCAATGGGATCAATGCACATCACCATGTCCCCTCTTCTACAGGGATTTCAATGTACGTGTTAAGAATTGCTCTAATAGAGGACTTGAAGAATCTATCTTAAGCACAGATCTGAGAGTGACCAGGGAATGCAGGGTTATTCTCTTAAGCAACATGGGCCTATGTGAGCCGCTGGTATTTAGTGTAGGCTCCTCAAGGCAGCCAGGGCTGTGGTTTCACATCATCGGGGTATTCACTGAGCTCTTCTGAAGTGACAGGGACTGTATCCTTGGCACCTAGCTGATGCCTAGTCTATAGGGTCCAGGAAGTGCTCACAGGATGAATGTGGGAAGCAAAAAGGCCCACCAAGTCTATCTTCAGCTCTCAAAGACTCATGCAGAGACAAACAGATGCCTCTCATTGGCCTGCCTCCGAGTGAATGAAGCTGTAACCTGGCATTATCAATCAACTTGATATTAGAAAAACTGCCTCATAGATTATGGACAATCTGTCTCCTAGGATGAGATCTGATACCCAGGTAATGAATTTCTTAGTTTCTTAGTCTGAAAATCT